ACATTTGCAACACATGTAAGAAGGGATTTGCAGCAAAATCCCATCTGAAGATGCACATGAGGACTCACACAGGTGAGTAACACATTTGTGCAGCACTTTAACATGAAGGAGTAGACGACAGGTCACGCAGATGAAACGACGCATCCTCTTAAAACCTGAAGCAAAAGATTTTGTCATGTTTGAAGTTTTCAGATTATTATTCTTGTGTTTCCATGTCATTGACGTACAGTACATGGGAGAAACCACACCAACGTTTGACAAACAGGTGGGATTTTCTTTTTTAAGTTGGTCCTGCAGTGTTGTTCTTCTTATGTCCTCGGTGTTTATCCCTGTGAAAAACAAGTTTAAATGTTTATTAACGAAGTAGAGAAAGCTTTTGCAGTTGAAGAGAACTGTGTTTGACAAGTGAAGAATTGATAGGTAACGTATATAAAATCCAACCTGTAATAGTTCCTTTAAATGAATGTGTTTTGTGTGTGAATAAACGTTGTTTGTTTGTGTTGTGCCTGCAGTCGTTTTGTCATTTTACTGGAAACACGTTATGTTTGAAGAGAAAATGTCAGTCGTTTTCCATGTTAAGATTTCTATTACATTACATTAAATTGCGATACATTTTGCAGGTCATCTAAACCACACATGTCAAGTGTGAGATCAGATCAAATATGTACGAGAGTTGTCCCGTCAGTATGTGGACCCTGTGTACTGGCAGGATTTGTAGTATTACTATTGTCTCTCACTCTGAGGTTTCTTCCTTCCCCCCCCCCCCATTAGGGTTTTTCTTGGAAGTTGTTCCTCAGCCGATGTGAGGGTCTGTAAGAGCAGTTTACCACTGTGGCATTTATTTAAATATTTAACTGTTTGAACCATGGTAAAGCTCACTGAGTTTGCTTTGTGTAAGAAATGACTTCTGTAAATAAAAATGGATTGATTGATAGTACTCGTGGTGTCGTTGGCCTGTGAAAAAAAGATTTACATTAAAAAGGAACTTGAACAGATAAAGAGACAAATACCACGGATGTGTTTTATTTTAAATTTAATTTCTCGTGTTTATAATATTAACTCTTGGTTGTTTCAGATTCAATGTTTAGGCAAAACTAAAGTTTGTTTCCATGTGAAAAAGTTCTACACAACAGAACTATAGAGAAGGGAAAACATGAAGTATTGCCATAAATTTTTCAGTAGAAACTGAGTTTTGCTCACAACTTCATCCCAGTTTCTAATTTTGGCCCACTGTGAATTTGAGTTTGACACACCCGATCTATATAATTATATATACATACAAATGGGATTCGAACTTGCCCAGGAGGTGAACCCTGCGGTTCCCACTAACGACAGAGACATTGCTTTTGGGCCAAAGCGCCACAATACGGGATTTATGATAGAAAAACCCTATCATTTGGATTAGTCACAGATAAAACAGGTGAGAGACACTGACCTCTACCGGCAGATTGAAGGTTTTAAATGAAAAAGTCTTGGATGGGAGGTGAAACGTCTTCAAGAAACCTACTCCGTCCAGCTGCCCTCGATGTAACTAGTTTTGGATCAGGTTTTTATCGTTTCACAGCTCTGTTGTTTACAGGAAGACAAAGGAGTTTGACGAAAACGATTGATGAAAATTATCATTTAAATATTGTGTTGTTGTTTCTTATTTCAAACTTCAGTAAAGAACGAGAACGTGTTTTTAATCTTACAACGTCCATTTAACCTCAGTTATAAAGGAACGTTGGTTCGTGTGCCATCGGAAAACCCGGAACTTTACTAATGTGACGCAAACAGGAAGTTTACGTCTTAGCTTTAGCCTCGTGTTCAACCAGAGAGCGGTTAAACCACCGTTGGTCGTGTTTCCTAAAAGAATCATCTTTCGACGAAGCAGCGATGTCTTCAGGACGGTTTAGAGAATTTATCAACGAACGATTAACCGCTGCTGCTGAGGAAATATTCACAGCTTTTGAAAAAACTATCAGCAACTACGAGGAAGAGGTGGATCGGTACAGAACCATGCTGGACATCGTTTGTAAACCGGAAGTGAAGTTACATCGAATAGGTCTGTAAAAGAAGGACGATGTAGAAAACAGTTAGGAAAGTCTCACCCAAGGAAAAGTGTCTGGAACTCTTTTTTTTT